TGTGGAAAATGTAATTTAAAACAAAACAAACATCACATGTTTAAACTGAAAACTTTGATTTTGCTTTGTATTTGCTGTGTTTTGACTTCATGGCCATAACCTGCTGAATCTGAGCTTTGTATAAGTAATCAAAATCAGCCATATACTGCCAAAATAACCCTCTTTTTGCCTAACATATGGTAGCCGTTTGAAACATGTGACCAAAACATAGCAAGTTATAGCTAGGCTGTAGACTCCGCAGTGTGAGGTATTTTGTAATGTAGTGTTACAATAAGCTACTCATGAAAGTTGTGTTGCATAATTGGAATAAATTTATGATATCAGTGTGACATTATAAGAAATCAGTAGACGCTTTCTACTGGTATGACTTTGAGTTGACATCAATACACATTAAGCATTTGAATTCTTAATTATTAGGTCTCTTGTCTTCTAGATTGCTCTGTGTCACCTTTTCTTCAATGTTTTTGGCATTCTGTTGTGGTATCCTTTCCCATTCATGCGTCTACCGATAAGGATGGCTCGTGTTCTCGGTGAGCGCACTGCCAAGTACCGCTGGTTTGCAATCTTGTACCTACTCCTCTGCTTCCTGTTGCTTCCATCACTGGTGCTGGGCCTCTCACTGGCTGGTTGGCAGGTGATGGCTGGAGTTGGGGCTCCTTTCTTGGGTGTAACCATCTTCATTACCATGGTGAATGTAATGCAGTCCCGCAGCCCCCATCACCTGCCAAACAAGCTCAAGAACTGGGACTTCCTGCCCAAATGGATGCACTCTCTCAAACCACTGGACCACCTAATTGCCAAAACAGTTCTCTGCTGCAGCTTCTCTTGTGAAGACAGACAAGAGGAAGAAGAAGCACCAATATCTCCAAGTACAACCTCTTGCAACAAACACACGGAGTTTGCTCAGCTTGCTTACAACAACCCAGTCATGGATTACCTGCATGAGAGAAGACCAGATGTACCAGTTCTTAAATTAAAAGGTTTAGAGAGGTGCAACAGCACTCCTCTGTAATTCATCCAATAATGAGGGTTTTTGACAAAATGGAAGAAAAAAATCCATTTTGTCAAAAGAGTAGGTTTTAGAAAAGTAACTTTTAATTTTTTGGAAATAAACTGATTTGTGATTCCTGACTGACTGACTTCGTTTGAAATGGAAAGCAATTTTAGGATGAGATGTGAGTTCAGAAAACACCAACTAAGAATCAATGAGGAGAACAATTTTTTTTTGTTTTTTGTTTTTGCCAACTTTTAACCAACGATTCCCTCATAATGAATGTCTATACTGACCTTTTAAATACAAATCTATACAAAATGTATGACTAGCCTAACTGACGTTAATAAATGGATGATTAATCCTTAAAAAAGGTTTCATAGAAGAGATAGTGTTTTTTTTTTTAAATTTTACACTCATTTCTTGTAAATTAGTGTTTGTAAAATCTACATTATGATGCAATGCCATGGCCTCTCTTACCTATTAAAACATAATGATTTAAATATAAATTATTTGAGGTAAAACTGGGAAAAACATTGTGAAAGTGTTGGTATTTATTATGTAATCATGCATAACTATTTAGACAGACACTTTCATCATAAAAATCAACCTTACAATAAGATTGCATAATTATCCATATCTAGATTATTATAACAAAGCACAAAACTTAAAAAAATGCTTACTGCAAACTAGTTACTGCATTCAAAGCAGTGGTAGGAAACTCCTACAATCCCTCTTTTGATCTCTGTTTTAATTGGAGTTTAAAAAAAAATGATTCGTATTTCATTATTTTGAGAATTTCCTACATTTCTATGACATATTCCTGGTCTTGTTGACCACAAAAATCACTTTTTTACTACAAGTAACATTGTCTGTGTCTCAGTCATCCAAGTCATGGTCATTTTAGGAGCGACCTGACTTCTTCATGTCATGAAGACATTTCACCCAAGAGGCTTCTTCATTTCCTGAAGAAATTAGGTGGAAATACAGACAGTCTCAAGGTCCCTCTTCAACTCTGTCACTACTGTCCCACAAAAAATACACACAGATATGATATGTACAGTTTCACAGTTTGAAGATTCCCTAAAACTAAGATTATTCTTGTGCATCTAAAATCCAGCCTCCATGTAGCACCTGTACCTGTTTTCTTTTTTGGGGTCATATTTACTGCTGTCAAATGTCAACCTGTGTTAAACTTGACCCAAACAGTGAGGATTTACACACAAACATCAAGGATTCCACAAAGAAACCAAATAATTTTATCCAGTTTAAGAATATTTAATAAATTCATTAAAAATAAACACCACCATGTGTAGGAATGCCAGAATGAGTACATAACAATAACAATTATCAGGCCTTATTTCCCACAGAATGCAGAAATGGTTGAGGAAGATATTTATTTTATCTTCTAGTTTTTGTAGAAAAATCAAGAAAAAGAAAAGAGTGCTGTTTAGTCCAGAGTTTAATAAAACAATCATATTACCAAGTGGAGAAATGTTTGATCATTAAGTGAAAATACCATGTACTCACTGGTTATATAAGTCTTAGTGGGCGACTGAATACACAGAGACTCTACAAGGAATTCAAAGAATCACCACATTAGCTGCTTGATGTTGTCTACAAAGAAGTGCATGAATGTGGCATGAACGTGTTGCGGGCTGTGTGTGTGTTGTAGTTTTTGTGTGTGTATGCTTTTCCAAGTGGGTGAGTATGCACACTCGGGAGGTGTTGCTGAAAGTGTGAATATGTGCCGTTTTCTCTGCTGTTCTGAAACAATTGATAAAGAAAGGGGAAAAAAGAAAAGAAATATGGGCTTGCTGAAATGCACTGATGCAATCAGAGAGCAAAGTCAGACACTTTCACTTGTAAGGTGATAGACAAAGACATGACGAACTGAAGAGCAACCATTAGCCTGCCAATAACTTTTGTTCAGAATTATCAAAAATAAGAGTTTGTTTATTAAGATTAGTCATCTTTGGTTTCACAGCTCACCTTTTCTTTAACGAAAAGCATCGTCTTGTCTTCATGTCTCTCTGATAGTGTTTCGCTTTGATGTTCAAAAGTCGCCAATACACATGCCAGTCTGCACTGAGTTTACACCGCCTTGCTGATTCATTTGAACCTTGAAGGAATCGGAGAGCAGCATGAGAAGAGAAACTACCATGAGTCCTTGAACCTCATTCTTACATCCACTCATTATAAAATACACCCAGCTCTGTTCCTTCTCGTGAGAGGTGATGTGAGTGCTGATAATCATTTGTGTGGGTGCAGTTTGGATCAATGCTGGAGTCCAGCAGGGCAGGGTCACTCCAGCCAAGCCTTTTTGAGTCCAAGGATTCACAGTGAGGACCTGGAGCTGCTATGACTTTCTGCTGTTTTTTGTTCAGTCTCTACAACATTGCAGAGAAAATAACACGATCGTTCACACATTCACGCCTCTGAGTGCCCTTTCTCTTCACTCATCCACGATGTGTAAAGTGTTTCAATCGTTTTTCCATTTCTCCCAGTGAGATCATTGTGATCCCATTAACGTGGAATCTGTTACTTCCTACCTTATGCTCTCTCACATTTATTTACTCTCTATGCTCTGTGCAAGCAAAGCAAAAGAAGAAACCAGTCCACCAGACTCAATTAAATTCTGTTTTATTTATATAGTGTCAAATCACTGCAGCAGTAGTCTTAAGGCACTTTCTATTGTAAGATCAGTGGGAGACCTGTGCAGCACCAGTGTGAAGGAAAAACTCCCTTTTAACATGCAGAAATCAGACAGAACCAAGAAACACTGGAAGAGAGCCAGAGATTAATAATAACAAATGATCAATTGCAGATTGGTGTATAAACACATGGTGTGTGATGATGAAGTCACGCCGCACACATTTCAGCAACTGTGTTCATGAACCCTTTCAACCCTCAATCCTTCCAATTTTGCTTGCAAGGCATTATGCTTCACCGCCCAAGTGCTGATTTAGCAATAATCTGTCATCAGCCTTCTCTCACTGTGTGATGAGAAGGCATTACAACATACTTATTCCACATAATCATCCAGGGACACCATTACTGAAAAGGTGAGGGCAGAAGAGGTGTAAGGAAATAATGATTCTGAAGTCATCTGGTGTTTTGGGTTCTGAAGCAGCAGTCAATATATTATTATTATTATATCAGAGTGTATGAAGTTAAAACGAATGAGTGATCTTTTTTGATTCCACAACATTTCCGGTGGTGTTAAAATTGCCTCTTTGATTTCCGATACTCAAGCGCAGAGTTTCAGTTTAGCATTTAGCTTTGGTTCATGCCTTGAGTTCTATTAGTTAGCAATAGTCGGTTTAGTACTCAGCTTTACCCTGTGAGTCTTGTTGCCTCTGAATTAGAAAAGTATCTTTTGGGTGTTTCCTTTTTTACCTTGACAGCTGGTTCAGGCTGTTTGTCTGATAGTCTTACCTTTGCCCGTGTCTTGCTCCCAAGCAGTTATCAATGTGTGTGTGTGTGTGTACATATATATATATATATATATAGTCCTGTATTGCTCTTTGTGTTTGTCAGATCATCTGTGGAAGAAGTAACTTTATTGCTGTAACTAATTAAACTCAAAAGTACAAACATATAAAAACTCAGAAACGAGGAATTATCAAGTAGGAATAAATGATAAATGAGGGCCCGTGGAACACAAGGAAACACACAGTAAATGAAAGACAATGAACAGAGGGAGACTGAAGACTTAAATGTGCAGGACAAGAGGACAGGGGAAGCAAAACTGAACACACTGTACACTGGAAAAGAAACTGGAAGCAGGATAAACATGGAGATAAAGACAGGCTTGACACTTGGACCAGGGAGAAAAGGACACGGGGACATGACTGACTGGGTAGATGAGAAATAAACAACATGAAGACAAGGCTGACTAAACACAGGAGAGGAGCAGACACTGAGGGAAGAAAAACTCAAAGATCACTAAACTAAATGCTAAAAGAAACATACTTCAAGCATGATGTAAAAACAACCATGAAACTATATTCAAAATAAACAGTATAATGTCCATAAACATAGAAACATTAAGTTAAAGACCCAGTGCCATCACATTGTCTCTGCTCCTAGCACCAGATCTGTACTCCCTTTTGGATTAGAAAAATGTCCTTTATTCTTCAGCCTCTCATAAGAAAACAAATTGATCTTTCATGGCCTGTGGCTGTTGGGCCTGATGGGATTACGTGTTTATCCAAACTAGCAGAAGCTTCTGCACTTAAACAGTTTGCAGTTCTGTTTCAAAACAAAGGTACTATTGTCCGACTATTACATTATCAATAAACGGGCTGGTACCAATCACCCTCTGTTTAATTACACTTTTCTTCTAATAACACGTATAACACGGACAGTCCTTTGTTGTTTTTCTGATTGATCAGTAAGCCTTCACACGATTTGTTGAAATAATGAGTCTGAATATAGTCAAAACACAGGTGTACTGCAATATCTATAACTCCATAGTGTTTTATGGGGAAGCACAATTATAGAGCATACATAGAAGCTGCACAGTGCAGTCCAGGCCACCTCTCACTTGTCCAACACCCGGAAATAATGGTACATGTTAAACAATGTCCAGAAGTGGAAATTATCACTGACAGCTTCATTTCAGGTAACTGTGTTAATACAGGAAGTGTTAAAACTGAAGCTGTGCAAATGAGTTATTACTGTTTGGGCAAAGTTCACACACTGTAAGCCACTGCCACAGGCAGGTAAAAAAATTCTCTGCCACAATCTAATATAGTCTAATGGTAGCCAAACTGGAAGTAGTGGTTCTGGGCTCTTATCTGCTTAGGGAGCCCCTGGGTGGAAAGTGGACAACCAGCCTGTGCCATTTAGTAACATTAGCATACAGTTTCGACTCAGTACTTTCAATTTAAAAATGACCCTTGGATTTTCATATTTTCCCCTCCCCACTCAGAGAAATAGGGAGAGAGAGCGAGGAAGAGAGAAACAGATGTGAGTGTTTTTGGGGGGGACTGGCTCTTTCGCTGCTGGACAAGGTG